TGGAGCAGACCTCCCTGTACGTTCACCTCTCAAAAACGTCTGGATGTTACTTCTGACGCATGCCTGTCTATTTCAGTTTATGCAATCCTGCGGTGCAAGCTTCGCTGCTAGGCAAGGCAGCTCGTCTTCTAGGATAAGCAGCTAGCAGCGTGCTTTGGCTCATGGACATCACGATGGAGATCAACGTCGCCAGTTCGTTATTACTATATCCGCCCATCCGATTGCTAGCTCGATTCTGCAGGCGCTGATGTCGGTCGACGGTGCGACTGGCTGCGATTTATCCACGCCGCCGTATCGTTTCTTCAAGGCATCTGACCTTCGAACGGTGACGAACACGGCCCGATTTTACCCTCGCAAGCCAGCGGTTATTTCCGGCCACGTCTCCGCGAGGCCGAATCGCTAGAAAAGAAGGATGCGAAGGAAGCTGCGGCTACTTAGAGAGGGCAAGATCAAGCTGTTTCAGATGTCCCCTTCCGCCACATCTTCAGTACGTCACCCTTTCATTACACCTGGTACTTGTAGTGAACAATCTCTATGTACAGTCAGCCTCGGCGCTCAATCATGAGGGTTCCCGAGTCGACCTGTTGTACATAATGCTAGCCACGTACACGCTATAACTCAATTCCAAGGCACCACTGCTGGTTGATTTCTCGGATTACTGTGCGTTCATTGTGCTACTTCCCTTCGGGCTCAAACACACACCTTCATTCTGCTTTCAGAACTTGCGACTCCCATCAAGGCGCACATATGCTTGGACTGCGAGCATCTCTCTTTCCAGACGCCTGCCTGACCTGTCAATCCTACAGACGAAACCATGGAAGCCATCTTGCCCGCTATAACTGTAAATCATCAATCTCGTGTTCACTTTCCCTGATTCTGTCGAACTAAAACAATGTTCCGTCTTCCTATCAGCATCCATGCCTCTGATTATGCCGATCAAGTCTATTCTTCGTCCTGTATCAACCCGCCTGTTCTCGTTGCCTAAGCGCATCACTGACGCTGCCGGCGCCAGTTGTGTAGGTCGCCCTCCTGAAGCAACTGACGCCACACCGATCAGGACCTGGCCAGCCCGCAGGTGAGTAGTCATCTGTTGATATGTTCTACCTGTAAATCGTAACCATGTTCACTTACCGGGACTGGTCTTATCCTACGAGACCCAGATATGCATTCCATATATACACTCAAATAAAACTGTGAATCTCATGCAGAGTAGACAGAGATGCAGAGTTAGGAGAGTCAGACACATGTCCCCTGAGCAAAACAGTTGCGAAAACCAAAAAGCTAGCACTTTCGAGCAAAATCCGGAGTGGCGTGGGTTACGGGTATGCAGTGGACACATCTGCACTTACTGGGAATCGAACCAACGCCCTCTGATTATGGAGACCACAGCCCACCCCGCGTTTAGCACAGCACAGGGACCGGAACCCTTCCGCCATTTGACCATCTTTCGCTTTAGGAGGAGCTTCCTTACAGTATATAGAGTTTTAGCACGCATAGGCCACACATATACACGCATCCTGGCATTTCCGTGAAGCGGCGCCACTCTGTCCCCAGACCAGACCCACACCATGCCCCACCGTAAGAGTGCTGCCACGAAACAAAAGAATGAACAGTGTATGTCGTCCAGGCTTGTTCTTGATCAGCTTTTTAACAAATCCTAGTCCGCAGTTATTTACTAGCACCTGCGACTTTAGCTGCTCTAGAACACCTCACTGCTGCCGACATCCTGTCTCAAGGGACTGCTCACGTTCTTCAGCACCGCAACACAACGCCAGCGTATGTCCAGTACCTGCATACCTTAACATGCAGGCTCTAAGCTTTGATGGTAGTGGGACTGTTTTCTCGCTGCTGCGATCAGCCATGATAGCAGCGAATCACAGACTGGTTCGTCACTCCGTCCAGTTATCAAGCGCCTCCAGTCCGCCTTGAAGCAGGACCGCAAGAATGCCGGCTATGCTAACCACACCCAAAAACGTGGACTTGTGAGCAGGCTTTGTCGTCACCGTGTGGTACAGTAACCCAGCCCTGTAATAGATTAAGTCCCTTCTCGGCCACCGCTCTCCACCATCCATCAGTGCTCATATCAGGAAGCATGGCGACAACATCGAGGAAGCCATTCGGACCAGCGTCGCAGAGCTGGGTTTTGAACTCCTGCTTTGCGATCGCCAGTCAGATGATTACAGGCAGTTCCATGGTATAGCTGTTGTTGAGCCAGGCACTCCGCGCAGAAATATAAAGCCACCCAACCAGCAGATTCTAACAGTAACTCCAGAATCTGGCTTTTACTTTGTGAAGCCTGAACAGAGTATTGTGTTTATCTCAATTGATTCAGCCGGAGGTGTGCTGTACCGTTACATCATGTTCCCGCCGGCTGGCTGACTAGAATTCTAGCGATCACACTCGACTTGTAGTGATTCGTGGTGTTGCCCTTGATGCGCCCTTTGCTAAACCCCTCTACGACTGGCTGATGAGTGTTGTCGAGGCAGCGTGTCATGTTCGCCGTGACTGCCGTGTAGGTGAAGCTCCTACAAATTCCATGAGATATATTAACGCCCGCCCTTCAGCCATATCATCAGGGCGAAATGGTGCAGTGGGGCCTGAATATGGGTCCACGCCACCGCCATATCCTTGGATGGGCCAAGAGCTTCCGGCGAAAGCTTTCTGAGCTTGCGTTGAAGGCCCTTGATACTGATGCTATTGGAGCAACAAGTCTTTTCTGGGCTCTTGCCCGCACATACCCTCCTGCTGAGGTTATTGACCCACTCCAGGACTATCTCGACAAGGCTGCGCTTCCGTCCATGGGCACCCTCCATGTCGCGTCAGGTAGGTGCTGTCTGTCTTAGGAATCATCAAGATTAGCTACTCATCAATTGTCCGTCATTAGGGTGTGGATTCGCCATCGAGGTCGATGATCTGATATACGACTTCAGCACTGCTCGCCGCGCCCCACCGGAAGGCCTGGCCACATACCGATACGCTTCGTAAGTGATCTTCATTAACCCTGTCGCCAGCTAATGCTCACTTTCATAGGCCCGGGCACAGAGATGGCTCGGCTACCGGCTGGGGCATCTCATGGTGCACTGGCTCTTGGGGCAACGAAAAAGGTGGTAATGCTTACGTCGACCTCAGCCTTCGAGTTGTTGTGCTGCCCGCACGTGGTACCCTACAGGCTACACGGCCGCGGTCTTATCATGCGAGCACTACTGCGATTGAGCCTGAATCCGGTACTGCAGGGTTCACAATTGTTTTCACCGACCGCATAGACAAGGCTTATCCGGAGTTCATGCATAATAACGAGATAGGAACACTGCTACCATTTTCGCCAGACCATACACAAATTTAATATATTACTGAATGCACCCTCTGGGTCAAAGATAGAAGATAGTTGAATAGTTCGGGCTGTGAAAGTGAAGATTTTATGTATAAAAACCCGTCTGTATCTATCGTGGTCGCAGCGACCCCCTCCCCGGGTGTATACCCTTCCATACATACGGACTAGTGATTACTTGGAGAACAAAAATTCCTAGGTAAACTCTGTCAGGACGAGTTGACGGATTCAAGGATGCGGCGGCCGTGCTGGTGGCGATGCATGAAGTGCAGAATCATCGCAACTGGCGAGGGGAGCGTTCTGAACCGATGAGCTTGCATACATCAGGAAATGTCCCGGCCAAGTGAGCAAATGGCCCAAGCCTTTCCAGTCCTACTTCCGCGCTGTGATCTTCCTGCGAAGCGACCGTTTGGGTCAGCACGCCCTAAACAATATACCGGATGATGTACTAGCCCGAATTTGTATTAATCCTTCAAAGGCTTCAAAAAGCAACCGACGCTCAATGGATCGTACTACTGGCGATGGCAGAGTCAGAGAGATGATGTATTAGGCGGTGATGACAGCACGTATGGGTCTGTACACGTGCACGACTAGAGAACCAGAGAGACCGGCATGATCTTGGAGGTACGATGCTCATAGTAAGAGTGAATTAAGTTCAGGTTTGATGAATCATACAGCGACGACGAAAGGACACAAGCTTACGAAAAACTATCAAAAGGCCGCTCCTGTAGTTTCATCCGATCCGTAGTAATAATGGGTCAAAGTGTATGGAGAGAACGATAGCATCCGAAGTAGCAGCAGACGACCCCGGCGGCGTACCCACACCCAGCAGATTCAACCACTGTGTCGGACTCATCCGCACATCGCCATCAGCCACATCCACATTCACATCCAAATCTGCCCCGTCCAACTCCAAATCCGGCTCCGCCTCATTCGACGAAGTCGTCGACGCGCGATCCGAAGGCTCTGGGAAGTCGAAACGCTGAAACGACTGTTGCAGCGCGTCATCGCCGTCGGTATCACCGAACGGGCTCATGTCGTTCATAGGGGAAAAGTTTAAGAGGTCGTCCTCCTTTGGTGGGGTGGGCACGCTGCCGCCGCTGACAACGCCTGAGGAGAACCACCGCGAACACTCAGCACGAGGGCTGGAGCTGCCGTGTATGGAGAATGTTGGCTCGTCTTCGGATTCGTATGGCGGAGTTGGCAGTTGGGCATCGATGGCCATATCTTGGTCTTCAATTATAGGGTCGCCGGCATTGCATTGGCATCGGCGTTCACATCCGTATTAGAAGGCGCGTCCATCGCCGTGATTTCTGCAGAAGATTCATTCTGCACAGCAGCGCGCGCCTCCTTGATCTTTTCGTAAGTTAAGTCTTGCCGCCAAGCGGTGCAGACGATTGCTGGTGGTAGAAAAGGAGGTACGCGTTGGCATTCTAAAAAGAGGAAAAGAACAGTGTCACGATTAAATCACAATTCGTACAGAAAGTAAGAACAAACGCACCACAGCATCCTCAGCCTTCGCAGGCGTCACATACGAATCATCAAAATGACACCACATCCCATTCATATGGTTCGACACATATCATGCCAACACCCAGCCCACCCATATGCTCATCCACACCACACAAATCATACACCAGCGGCTCCTCAACGTCCTTCAACCCCAACTCCTTCAAGCCTCCACATCAACCCCCTTCGCCTTCAAGTCCCTCGCCACTCTCCTCTCTCCTACGACATCGCCTAGGTCGAGACCAGTAACGGGGAAATAGATGAACACGTCGATCTTGTCGGGCAATGCACGGCTGCTGCCAAACCGCTTGAGGTGCACGACGAGCACGTCGGGTGCGCTCCAGAGATCGAACTGCTTCGTCGCCTGTGGGTGTTTCTTGCATCGAAGGCACAGATCGTTTGCGCTGAGCCTCTCCTCCTTCGTAACTCCGCCAAACAATCCTGCAGACTCAAACCGCGGTTCGAGCGCGCCGTCGACGCGGCACTCGCAGCCTCAAGCTCCGGGTGGACGAACATGTCCCACGAGTTCCGCCGTGCATGCTCCCACGTGCGATCCTCACCAAAGAAGAACACTTTCATGTTCTCGTCGAACTCGCAGTAAAACTCGTCACCATCACGGACAGCCCCGTTCGTCCCAGACTCCTCAGTGCACTGTCGTACCAATGCTGCCCGTACATCGTATACCCTGTCCGAAAGTTCTTCTGGTTCGCCAAAACATGGAGATTGAATATATCCGGTTCCGGACCCAACCGCACAGGGATCGGGAATGTCTTGGTCGATCGATGCGATAGAGGTTTTCAGCGAGCGGGCGAGCGGCCATCTACATCGTTGACACGCGACCGAGGAGCACTTGTGCGTTCAAGGGGCTCGCATAGCTGGAGCTCAACAGGCTGAAGATCGTCGGGGAGAACATGCGGAGAAGAGGGAGTGGTAATCAGCTGGTGTGGCGAATGCAGGACGGGCGCTAGAGCCTAAGTCAGGAGTGCCTCAGCGGGTACGCCGACCTGTGGATCGTCTACGGGTATAGGTGGGACGAACTGTGACACGAGGGGGGTATAGGAAGCGAGTCGTCGGTTCCGCCAACATGGATCATAGCAACACTGATGTCAGCGGCGGACGTTATGGTACGCGCAGGAGATTCCGATGCGGATACCTGGGGAGGGTCACATCTAGCGCTGAAAGCCGCCTCAACTGTGCGCTTGCGGTGTTGGGATGGGGTTTTGGACGTGTGAGAGCCTTGATCATGAAATTCATGTAGGAGTGCAGGCCGACTCATTTCATGGGGCAGAGGGGAAATCGGACCGGAGACTGCAGTACCAGATGAAACGGCCGTGGATGAAGTTGATGGTGGGACTTCTAAGGCTGGTAGCCATAGTTCTGGCTCGAGGGTGGAGGTTAGTTGTGGGGTGGATCTTGATGCGCCAGCTAAACGGGCAAGAGAGTTAGAAGTGGATGCACGGAGTATATCGGTGGAATACGCACGGGCGCAGGTGGTGTCGGCAAAGCACTTGTAGGTGATATCTCGGACCTCAACCGCGCGTCATCCAGTTCGGTGGCCCTCTGTTTGCCCTTTACGCGCGAGAGAGAGCCGAACCATGATGAAGTTGACTGGTTAGTGGCTAGCTTTACGCTAGCGACACGAGCCGAGGTGGGAAGAGAATTCGTCGTCGGTTGATGCGCCGCCGGTCGTGGTTCTCGGAGTGAGGACGGTTTGAGCTATCCGACATGGAAATGGTAGATTGGTTATCGTCTAGAAATGGATCCGAAAGCGCCGTTAGCGTTGTTCCGAGTACAAACGGTTGTGACTCACCTGTGGATTCAGCAGTGGAAGTCGAAGCAGAGGCTTGCCTGGTCAAACGACTGCCTCGAATTGTCGGATTGTCCGAACTAGAAAGTGCGCTGGCAGGTAGCTGAGAGGCTACGGATGCGAGAGGAGCTCCTTGCTCGGGCTCTGTGACGACAAAGGAGATCCTGGGTGGTGGTTGTTTGTTTACAGCTATCGGGCGCCAGACTTGTGGAATACGAGAGCGTGTTGAACGAGAGGAACGACTGCTTTGGAGAGGAAGAGGTCGATGGGAAGGGACCCTTGATGCGCATATCAAGAATGGAGGAACCGTCCCACAAGACGTGTCGTTGCTTTAGCTGTCCGTGGGTAAGCCTTTTGCAGTCATAGGGAGAGGACGCTGCGTACCTCGCGCTCATCAACCTGTTCAACCAGATGCGTCTGATTTTTGCGGCAGTGAGCCAGTGCACTGGATGTTCCCGTGCTCGTAAGGCAACAGGGAGGTGAGTGTCCTGAGCACGAGGCATAGCGGTAGCGAGACTGCAGCTCGGCGTTGTCGGAGCCTAAGTGGATGGATTGTCAGAATCGACGTTGATGCGAGGACGGTGCAAACGAAACGTACACAGAGGCTCTCTAGGCTGCGATGAACCACGATGACGAGTTCCGCTTCGTCTATGCGCCTGCCATCCCAGTCCCGCACCACCACTGATCAGCCTTTCTTCCGCTAATGACAAGATCAATCCGGGTTGAAGAAGAATGCTCAGATCTGAGCTTTAGATCTGAGCTTTGATGACAGGTAAGATGCTGATGCGCATAACTAACGCGCTCAATGTGATCGGGGTGGACATCTCTGAACATTCTCCAGATATAGGGTTTGGGCTGGAATCGCAAAGGTGTGTTAGTATGGTCCGACTATGAAGACGAATGAATGGAACGAGAGCTATAAGGGTACCGGTAAGCGCTAAGCGTCGGGGTGGGGGAGACGCGCGTGCAGCTTTGCGGTCAACAGATGTAAATACCGCGCACCTTCCCAAGCGTTTGCGCTGAAAAACGCTTAACCAAAGCCATGGAGCACAATCATTGCCGTCAATGCCAGGGACATATTCGAGTGGAGGAGGAGCAGTACGTTTGGTATGTTGTGCATAGCTTTCATCCTGTTGACAGTAACGCAGCTGCTCAAGCCTCCTGAGCTCGCAAGCACGCCTTCCCTTCACATTGCCACCAAAGTCAATGCACCAATTACCTGAGCTTGATTTTGATGGCAATGAGCAGCCGGTATATGGAGCTATCACCCCCAGTAAAGTTAGAGACGACGATGCTTCGGCTTTCGACTCAGACACAGAGTCTGATGGGACGATCACACCGAGAGCAAACGTGGCTAAGCTCCCAAATGGTATATAGCCCACCCAGTTTTTGAATGTCAGCTAATTCAATGTGCTAGGGCGAAACACGCAAAGTGCAGAGTTTCCAGGAACAAGTGTTTTTTACATCAACAAACATCAATTTCACCGCGTGTACCCCAAGCTTACACAACGGATTGTTCAGCAAGAGCATCGACAAGAATTGCTGCATCGAAAGTTGCGCTCATGCCTCCTCCAAAACAAACAGGCTCTGAAGCTTTTTCTCTCCAAAGAGGTGCAGAAAATTAGCGAGGCAATTGACGACGTCTTTGCAGAGCAGGAAGTGCAGCTCGATTGCTTCTTGAAGGATCGCAAGGAAGAGTTGGCCAGGGCCCCGGAGAGCATGTGGGATTTCCTTGAGTCTTGCCTTTCAGAGTTGGAGCATGCCGCAGGTGTGTAGGGTCAGCGGAGTTGTGTCTTTGACTGCATTGTTGTCTATCCTTGCTTTCGTGTTCAATCGGTTTGTCCTGCTCTCCATATCCTCCTAATTTGGGGGGTGCCCACTATTGTATATCGATGGTTCCTTCATTAGCCTCGGTTTCCTCTCCATATTGTATATCATATTGTATATAGACATGTACAGCGGTATCCTTCTAGTGCGTGTCTCAATTTGTTTTGAAAGATGTGGGTTTACTATGTAAGAACCTAAGGCGCACAACATATCTCTGATCTATGTTGGAGAGACAAAGAGAGGACATCGTGGTGGACGCCGACGAGAAAAGGTTTGGGCGCTTAGATCAATCGCGTGACGCTTCTTTGAGCACCCCTCTTTGAGGAGTCTCTCCGCCACTTGTATTCAACTTGGTCCAGCCAAGGACTGTGTACTCTCAGCGATGGTCTTCTCATCTTCCAGTCTTTTGAACCTCAAAGCTTCATTGCAGGTCGTCATCCTATCCTGGCCTGTGCAATCTCTCTCCGCGCACTTTAGGCAGTCCCTCCTGCCTTTTGCTGATGATCTTTGTCCTTTAGTAACCCTCATGGCTGCCATTTGAATCGATGCCTTTGGAGCTCTTATCATTTATCCATTTATCGTCGACTATTTCATTGCCTCGCCGCATGCCGATACATACCTTAGTACGTGATCAATTTGTAACGCCGTGAATTGCCATCTCACTCACCCGTCTTTACGCAGTTCTTTTCCTGTGTCCAAACCCCCAGGAGAAGATTTGTTGACGCGCACGTCGTCAACCCGGGTCAGGGAACTCGAAGATGTTTTGAGAAGGTTTGAACATCGACCATGAAGCGTATTCGCGCTGGTGAATCTCGTTTATGAATTATCTACTGCTTTTCATACCTAACGCGACATTCGTAGTGCGCATATACTGTACTCCTGGTACATCCCAAGATATCTGCTGCCTAAGCGCCATGGTGTTTTGACCTTAAACTGCGATCCTGTCCGTTAACAGGATATTCGTATGAGTACGTTCGTCCTTTCATGTCATCCATATCTTGTGCTTTTCTCATTCGCGTTTATCCCTCTAGTGCTGTGTTAATGTTGATTCCAAACAATATTGGATTAGTGTGATCATGATGACGAACCCATGTTCCGAGTACGTGTGAGCCAATCAAATCGAGCGTTTGTTCCCTCGATTTGATCGTACTAAACGCACGCACTTTCTTGCTGATGCGTCGTTTCGCCTAGAATATCTGCCTATTTGCGCCATACATCTTCGTTCAATCTTCCGCGCAAACCCTCGTCGTTGCTCCGATCCTTCGACGTAAATTGATCAACGGGGTCGTTGTCGTATTCGCGCTGGCAAAGACGTTCTTTCGTACTTTCGCTGTGTGTGATTTCCGCCTCCATTGTGTATGTTGTTTGATTTCACTCTCGTTGTTCCGTTGTCGCTTACCATCCGCGCCAACCTTGGTCATTCATCATCAGATTCAAGCATTTAGAGAGAGACTGTGCGCAAGCGTGGACACGTCTCTTGCTGCAGGTACGATTGATCCACATTTCTCAAAAGCCACGGTTTTCTCATCCGTTATGCGCCAGTTCTCCTAGTGTACATGGATATCTTCTTGCAGTACAATCGAAAGCCTACACCCCGATCTCCTGAACATTCACATCGCTCGACGTTTTGCAGTGTGCAGTGTACGCGCTTGTTCACGAGATCCAAGGCTTGCTTGTTTACTGAGGACATCGCGAGCTGCGCCCCTACGCACGGAAATGGCACAGCCCGGTACGTCTATCATTTGCCTTAGCGTATCTGGATTGTTACTCAACTCACCTAACCAGCCGCTACGTCGTGATCATCACCTCGAGTGCATCTCTTGTACCGTTGTGCTGCGGGATCGAGAAGCCACGAGATCAGCTCTGAACTCAGGGAGCAGGGGTTGGATTCGATCATTCGAGGCGGTGCAGCTTGAGACTAAGTATCAGACTGAGCGTGGGCTATGGGCATTTTCAGTAGGGTTTCGATGGACTCTTGGCTCATACTTTCTACTGCTGATGACGCACTTTCGTCGCACTCGCTGTTTTGTGTTTCGACAGATG